CAGCCACACCCACCTTTTGCTTCTTATTCTGTTTACCTTGTTTGTTGTGAAAACCCAGGGCTCTTTTTGTAGCAGGAACTCCTTTGCATGTTAGGCCACACACCCCTAATGTAGCCAATCCTAATGAGTTTCTGCTGTTGGGTGTGGCCTATTATGCTAATGAGTTCCTGCTGGCCGTGGCCAACTTGGAAGCCATCCGGAACTCCGTTCCTGTGCGTTCCTGCCCAAAAATAGCCCTGGGCCACCCTAATCGCTGTACATATTGTAAAACATCGGAGCAGAATCCCACATGAAGGGGAATGTTGGAATTCTACCACTGGGAGCTTCCATCCACAAGGGCAGAGGGAATGTCTGCAGGAAGAGTACAGAGGTCAATAGGCAAGACAGAGGCCTCCTCTGTCACCGGATCCATGACTGGGGGCACTTTTTCAAGAGCAGAATTCAAAATCCATTCATCCTAATTAAGACGGCCCCAGTATTTTTAGGGAATAATTCAAAATCTGAAACAGAAATTCAACTCCTTGGGGGGGGGGGCTGTTTCTGTTTTCTCAGAGAAAGTGCAAGAAGAAATAACAAAGGTAATCGGATCCGCTCAGCCACGGATTGAGCACCGAGCAAAACTGCCGTACACAGATGCTGTGGTTCACGAGGTCCAGAGGTTTGCTAATATTGTCCCCATGAACGTGCCACATGCCACCAGTGCAGACGTCACTCTTGGAGACTACTTCATCCCAAAGGTGATTGTTCTCTGCTTTACACTCATTGTTCAGCTGAATATGGCACATTTGTGATTTTTTTGTGACCAACATTTAAAAAGAAGAAGAAGAGATTGGATTTATACCCCGCCCTTCACTACCCAAAGGTGTCTCAGAGCAGCTTACAAACTCCTTTCCCTTCCCCTCCCCACAACAGACATCCTGTGAGGGAAGTGGGGCTGAGAGAGCTCTTGACAGAAACTGCCCTTTTTCAAGAACAGCTCTTATCAGAGCTACGGCTTGCCCAAGGTCATCCAGCCAGGTGCAAGTGGAGGAGTGGGGAATCAAACCCAGTTCTCCCAGATTAGAGTCCGCGCACTTAACCACTACACCAAGAAGAAGAGATTGGATTTATACCCCGCCCTTCACTACCCAAAGGGGTCTCAGAGCGTCTGACAAACTCCTTTCCCTTCCCCTCCCCACAGCAGACACCCTGTGAGGTAGGTGGGTCTGAGAGAGCTCTGACAGAAACGGCTCTTTTTCAAGAACAGCTCTTATCAGAGCTACGGCTCTCCCAAGGCCATCCAGCCAGGTGCAAGTGGAGGAGTGGGGAATCAAACCCGGTTCTCCCAGATTAGAGTCCACGCACTTAACCACTACACCAAACTGGCTCTCAGTTTCATGGAATAAGAATAATTTTGTGGAATAAGAGAGCCAGTTAATGAAGTCCTTCTACGTTCCATAGATTTGTCTTATGGAAACAATGGGGATGTGCCTGACTTTGCCTGGATTGAAACAAATGAAGAAGAAGATAGCAACACCTGTTCTGAATGTATACATATTAAGTTCTGAATGTGTGTCTTTTTGAAATCGCATATACAAGTGGGAACCTGCAAGAAACTTGTGGGGAGGGGGCATTTTCCCATCTTTGCTTCTTTCCCCTTCCCCCTTTGTTCCATTTCTTTCTCTCCCCAACCCAATACCCCCTTCTTTCCTTTTCTCTCTCCCTCAAGCCAGTCTCCCTTACTTTTCTCCTCCCCCCCACCAAGTCAATACCCCTTCTTTTCTTTTCTCTCTCCCCATACCAAATTCCTCTTTGTCTTTCTCTCCCTCCAAAGCCAATCCTCCCTTTTCTCTCTCTCCCTCAAGCCAATCTCTCCTCCTTTCTCTTTCTCTCTGTCTCGCCCCAGCCAATCCCCCTTCTTTCTCTCCTCCCAAGACAATACCCCCATATTTCCCTTTTCCCCCAGCAAACCCCCCTTCTTTCTCTCCCCCAAACCAATACCCCCATATTTTCCTTTCTCCCCCCAGCCAATCCCCCTTCTTTCTCTCCCCTTCTTTCCCCCCCCCAAACCAATCCCCCCATATTTTCCTTTCTCCCCCCAGCCAATCCCCCTTCTTTCTCTCCCCAAGCCAATACCCCATATTTCCTTTTTTCCCTGCTGCTTCTTTCTCTACCTGCAAGCCAATACCGCCATATTTCCCATTCTCTCCCCCTCCCCAGTCAATCCTCACTTCTTTCTCTACACCCCCCCCCCTTCTTCTTTCCTGCCTGTGAGCTTGGCAGCTGTGCCAGTGGTGCCTGTGAGCTACTTCAAGCCTTGAGCAGCTCCTGGTGGCAGCCATATAGATTATTGCCCACGGAGGAAGGCCCTAGAGGCTGAAATGTGTCTGGTCTTATTGGTCATTTGATTTATTCATCAACTTTTTATGTGAAATCAACAAGTTTGTATATGAAATTACTACAGCTTATGTAAAGCTCGTGTTGATGTTTCATGCAGTCTGATATTCAAACTTAAAAAAAAAAATCTTTGCCATTGTATACACCATATAATAGACAGACAGACAGATAAGATAAGATAAGATAAGATAAGATAGATACTATTTTATTTGATGTAACTTGACCCTTGCAGCATTCTTGCCTGGATTGTGCCAAAAAAAATCAAATTCTGAAAACAAGTCTGGAACAAGAGAATCTTTTAGTGGAGGATCAAGCTGGCTTCAGGGAAGGAAGAACTACCATCAGCCACACTCTGATTTTGCAACACCTAATAGACAAATATGCTGCCAAGAACATAGTTTCATTGTACGCAGCCTTTACTGATTTAAAAACCGCTTTTGATTCCATATCTAGGGAGCGGTTATGAGACAAATTGGGAGCCACGCCTATAGATCAGAGGCTCTTATACTTGATTTGGGCCCTGTATTCTAATTTGTCTTTCAAAAATAGGTGAAATAAAAATGGTCTTCTTACTAATTCCATCATTACTACAAAAGGTGTAAAACAAGGCTGCATTTTGGCTCCTTCGCTGTTTACTTTTTATATCAATGACATGATCAGTAGCCTAAGCAGCCCCTACTGTAGTTTAGTGGAAGATATTTGCCTTACTTTATGCCGACGACACAGTTTTATTATCCAGAACCCCTGTTGGCCTTAGGAGGGCACTGAAGACATTCAGTCATTATTGTAACACGAACCACCTAGAGATTAATCACCAAAATACTAAAATCATGTATTTTGGTAAGCGACCTAAAGTTAGGGCTTGGAGCATCAATGGCCATAAAATCGAGCAGGTAATGAGTTTTAAATATTTGGGTGTGATGATCCAGTCTTCTGGGGCGAGGAAAGCCCATCACGATTACGTGGCCAATATAGGTAAAAAATAGGTACAGGCTATTCTAAGATTCTTCTATAAAAATGGTGGGCAATATATTCCAGCAGCCCTCAGATTATATCAATCCAAAACAGTCTCCCAGCTTCTGTATGGGACAATGTTAGGCCCACCATCTTCATGTTTTGCCCCATTAGAAAGAACTCAATCGAAATTTTTAAGAGCAGTATTTC